GAGCAGACACTGAGTGATCTCTTGTCTCCTTTCTTGTAGATCGGGAACATGAATGACGATTTCCAACGCGTAGGGAACTCCCCCTGCTGTACACAGCTTCGAAAGCGTTGTTGTAAGCTCTGAACAGCATCGCTTCAGGATGCTTGAGGGGATCCCGTCAGGGCCAGCAGCATTAGAAAATTTCAGCTTCTTGATGGCGGATTCGACGAGGTCTACTGTAACCGAGGTAATCGAACAATTGAAAGCATCACTGGAAGTGTCCCTCACCGCTTCAGCAACTTGGGACAACGAAGCTGTAGTGTCATTGAAAATGCTTTTGAAATGTTCTGCCAGAAGATTACATTTCTCGAGGGAATTGCTGGCGACTGGTAGCCCCGCCACATTTCGTTTGGTATTCACGAATGACCAGAACTGCTTTGGATTAAGCCGTAAATTAGCCTGCACACGCCTTTTGTAGCTCTTGTAAAGAATGCGGTTATATGTGCGATATTCGTTGCTCGCTGTTGAAAATAATCGTTTGGTGAATGGGTTACGAGTACGACAGTATTTACGGAGGGCCTTCGATCTCAGACGCTTCAAATTCCGTAGTCGAACATTGGACCATGTGGGTTTGGGAGAGGGTCTCTTCAATGGGACAGAATCAGTTATTGCCCGGCCAACGACCTCAGCGAAGTAGTTGACGGCTTCATCAATAGGAACTGCCAATCTGCCTGGGCAAGCGAGTGACTCAGTGCGACGAAATCTCCTCTACGAAAGTCGAGCTCATGTACATCAACAGGGGGGTTATCGTAGCGAACAGGAACAGATAGGTTGATGGAAACTTCCAACGCAGGATGATTGGTGTCAATGCCAATCAAAGGCTCTGGGGCTTCTAGGACAGAACATTCCAGCCGTGCAGCTTCGTTCGCCAGAACGAGATCAAGCAGCCGAGAGTTGCTATTCAGTATCGAGTTGATTTGCGTTAAGCCATGCAGGTTGAAACCATCAAGGAGAGCACAGCAGGATGCGGGCATATTCGAGCGAAGAACATCAATGCAGGAACGTTCCATGAGAGCCCAGACTGATTGTAGTCACCAAATACCAGAGCTAGGTCGTTTTGTTCTAGTCGAGAGAACACGGTACCAATCGAACTGATGTGGTTTGCAATGCTGCTCGAATCAGATTTTTGGTCTGGAGGTAGATACATAGCGCCAATACTTATTGATCTACGAGGCGTCGTTATTTTAACCCACAGGTGCTCTAGAGATGTGCAAACTGGAGCAGGATCGATGCAGGAGCTTAGGCGTTTGGATACCGCAATCAAGACGCCTCCCCCACGCGATTTGGTACTATTCTGGTGGTTGCGGTCGTTTCGAAATACCGTGAATAGACTGCCAAATAATTGAGAAGAATTAATGCGGTCATCGAGCCAGGTTTCCGTAAGAACTATGACACCGTAGTCAGATTCAACGGCAGTCAGGAAAAAATCATCAATCTTTGTTCGCAGGCCACGAACGTTCTGGTAATACACCAACAGGCGGTCGAACGAAGTCGGTTGGAGGTCTGCAGAATGATCGATCAGCCGAAACGAGCATGGTGGTACTCTGGAACACAGAGACGGATCAGGAGAAGAACTGTTTTCAACAAACGCATACTTGCCTGATGTAGAAGGTTGCAAGACCCCTTCACCATTCTCAACCACAGGGCCAGAACGACTACGATGACAGGAATCTGCAAGCGCTACTGGGTTGAGTGGCTCAGGGGCTTCCTTGAGGCAGCAGGCAGCGCGTTCTGGTCTGGGATGTTCCAAAACGTGGCGAGCAAGATCCGGTGCAGTGCTGTATGTCCCATCGGTGATGTGGGATTTGAAGCCATCGGAGTATGACGTTTCAGTCGAAGCCAGGAAGCAACGGACGAATCAGGAGCGGAACTGATGATGACACGAACATACTAGCCGTGAGTTGCGGGTTGGAAGACCCCTTCTCCAGACCCCTTTCCAGTGAAACCTTGATGTATGAGTGCTCATTGCAAGGCAGCCTATATTACATGATATAAGCCATAGTCTGTACGGGGTATTAGACGGTAGGTTGTTCCAGAAGCACTCAACAGATCTCAAGTTGATTGAAGATTTCTGGATAATGTTTTCAACACATCTGGCTATTCACACAATACTCTGAAGATCACAAGCTGATTAAAACTTAAAATAACGTTTATTCAATATTTTCCCCAAGGACTACTCAGTTTATAAAAATCTGCTATTTATCAATTTTATCTAGATGAACGCGTCATTGGTACCCAAGCAACATTGCAAGTTTTATTGAGGTTTTATAGCATACTACAAGTCTAAATCATGGTCTACAGAATCCTCATTAAACCCAAATTGTTACTTGGGTACGACACTAATGGATATTTTTGGTCGCTATTGAAAATTTAGTCGATTGCTGAAATTATGTATGGGCCCAAATTAGGAACATTTAGGCCGACATTACATCCATTTCCCCTACTTATTTCGATGTTTTCTTCGGCAAGTATGGAGCTCTGCTTACAAGCAATATAGAAAAATAATAAACAATATATTTGAAGCAGCATGTAATTTTTAGGAAGTTATAAATAGCATGTGCTCTAAATTGCAATTTTTCTAATCATTCCAATATAAAACCAAGATCTATTTTGCTATTTTGTCAAGCCAACTATTTTTAATTTCAGATATTCTAAATGATGTAAAAAATATGAAATTTGTAGAACAATGTGTATGTACGATTTTTCTATATTTTTGGTCTAATATTTTATCCTACGTTTACAACCATGCTTGGCATGCACAGTTATACACACTAACTGCTCATTAGTTAATAACTTTCCACTAAGTTGTTGAAATTTATTTTTCTTTAAAGTAATTGATAGATAAGGATCATAGCTTACTATAGAAATGCAAGAGTATGTAAATCTTAACATTTGAATCAACAACAATTAATTTTTACGCTTTAAGTCCGAGATGTGCAGCGAGCATTTATCACTTCATTTTTACAACGCAAAAACAAATGTATTTTATTGCTAAAACTAAAATCAATAACAAGCTTAAACTCTATTCTATCTACTGCTTCAAAAAGAATTATGTTTCGTCAACTGTGTTCAAAGTTATTAGCAAGAGAGCAGTTCGTGACCAAAACTGTGTATGCCAAGCATGTTGATACTTCCTAGTCCTTTAACTAAAAGCTGTTTATTGACGGTTTTTATTAAATTGAATTGAAAATACTTATTTGAAACACATACAACAAATTTCCTTCAACTCTATCAACATACATTTAATCATATTTTGTTCTAATTAGGTGGTCTGACAAATAAAAAGAATAAGATTTTGTACCTGAAGGCTTCCTCGTAGGTGTAAATAGAGGATCCCCGTGGGAAAAAAAAACTGACAAAACCTTCCTTGTTTACACGAAGACAGCTCACCATTACTGATTACAGATATTATCAGCGATCACCATTACAGGGCTGATTATTATTACTAGGATCAGATCAGAATAATATTTCTGTTGCGCCTTCAGAAGCTCAATTGATTAGGAATCGGTTGCACCTATAAAAGTTTAAAATCTTTGAAAATATCTGATTTCGTAAATGCTTCATGATATGTAACCACCATTACAGGGCTGTCCGAGACTTAATTTTTCAATTATATTAAAACTACGAAAATACGACCAAATTCAAGCAACGGTACATTAACATCAAGAATTGGTTACTACAGCTACACCTAGATTTAAGAAAGTTTTGTAAAGATACTAAAAATAAATTATGGTTACATAGAGCCTTCGCGATTGCCCTTTGTAAAGTAAACGAATTGAAAAAACAAAATCATGGAACTTCACAGCATGATGCAATGTGTCCATGTTAAATGCAATAAAGTCAGTGTAGAAATTTTGAATATTGCCTTAAAATGATAAGTAGCAATTAACAGCGTCAGTCTATCAACAGGTAAAACACAAAACATAAACTAATAATTATTCTAATCGGAAAAACTTACTGCACATGTAGTTATGTAGACAAGCATCACCCATCCCGCCATCCCATGCGTCATGAAATTTTCCACTACAATCATCACCACGCGCAACGTGATCCGTGCGGCATGCACCCAAGTCAAAAGAGAAAACAACCCATATCTCGGCAGCACAGTGGGTTGTTTTCCTCCTTTCTCTGCACCGACCGTCGTCGCAAAAATTCTCAAAACCGGTTTGAAAACTCCACCAAATAAAATTAAAAGCCCGTCCGCACCCGCCGTATACTCACGCACACCCACCCAACAACGAACGCACACCCGACTGGATACAGAAAAAAAGCACGAAATTTACTACCCACGGCCCACCACCACCGACCACACCAATACCAACGTACAAAAAGGAGTCAGTTTCCAACCTCCACCGAAAACTCGTCGGCCGCCTCATCGTGTGTAGCAACAGCAACACAAGCGGATGAATGAAGGGCGGCTGCTCACCACACCACACACTCGTCCATAGAATCCACATGCTTCATGCACACAGCAACCAACCATCATGATCGAGCCCCGACGAAAAAAGGAAAAACAAAACTCACCGTGCTCGCAAACGATCGAGTGTCCGTCCCATGGCTGCTACCTACTTCGTTCGGCTCGACAATGACGATGGAAATGATGACGATGACGGTTCGGCGGATGCCTTTTGCCTTGGAAAGTGCAAAGCCTGCTGCTGCTGCTGTGCCGCCGCCGCTCCTGGAGCGATTGTGTAGGTGAGGGAGTTTTTGGGTGGGTTGTTGCCGCCGCTCTTGCTTGCATTGTGTGTGTGCGATGGGCAGCAGCAGCAGAGAGTGAGCTGAGAATGTTGTTTTTGCACTACCTTCGCGCCTGCGACGACGATGTGTTGGTGAAACCAGGCAGCCCCGATCCGACGACCGACCGACGAGTGCGAGAAAAACAATCCACGGGAATCACCGCACACGGCAGCCAGCAGCAGAAAAGGAGGTCCACCGCACACATTTCAATACATCGCCAAACGCCGCTGAGTGGAGACACGCACGTTTTTCTCTCGTTCGGTTTGAGTCGCGCGGTCCGGAGTGCTTTTTTCCTTGCTCGGTGTGAATCTCACCCAAAAGGGACTCGGAAGTCGGAAGATCAGCTCGGATTAACAGGTTTCTTGTGACTGAAAGTGCTATTCCCTTTAGTGAGTGACTACAAATTCGTTTATCCAGTGACAGTGACACTAGTGGTTCTAGTATACGGGGTGTCCCCCATTGTTTACAGGCTTACCCAAAGGAGGCGTAAAAGGTAAGCTTGTTACTACACGTTTGTTTGAAAAAAAAAAACACGGGGTGTATTTTCCGGTTGATATTGAGAGCTTGCTGCAGCTTGCTAGCGAACTATTCTGGGTAATTTTCAATGTCAAGAGACGTGAGGGTAGGGACCGCGGTATGTGCCTACATACTGTGGGGCCTCCCTGCCGATCGCCAATGATTTTGCTCTCCGACCAGACGACGGACGGACGAACGAGTGTCATTGAGGCGAGTCGTCGTGCGGTGAGTTGAGTGTGAGCTGAGCTGATAAAGCAAGGCAGCACAGCAAGCTCTGACTGTGTCTCCAACTCCCGGCCCGTCGCTTCACCATCGCCCCCGCACCTACCCGCCCACCGTTTGTTGTTGTCGTTGTTGTTGTTGTGAGAGCACGACGAAAACGAGGTTAGCCAGTGGGTGGACCGCCATAAGTTTTCATTTTTTTCTCGCTCTCCCCCTGCGCGCCACTCTTCTACTTCTGCTGCTGTTCGTTCTTCGGATCTTCCTCGCATATCCCCTTGGATGTTTCGTATCATTTATTGGGTGTAGAAGTGTTTGCTGTTTTTGTTGTTATTGTCTACTGTTTCTTGTGCGATGGTCAACTCTCCACCACACATGCTTCCTGGTTGACCATCATCATCATCGTCGTTTTCATGTCGGTTGCGTTCTTGATCTCCTCTCTTCTCTGGGACGGACCCGTCTGTCGTCGTCGTTCTTTGTTTTATAAAAAGCTGACTGATACGCACTTGCTGGGTCGGATGGTGGATGATGGGTTTTGGGATGGGAACAAGAAGACGAGGAAGATGAAAACAATATTAGCCCTTTTCGGGCGTTGGGTTTTGGGTTGAGCACCACTCGAATTCACTGATACTGTGGTCCTACGTCTGTGTGAACATTCACTGCGAATTGTTGCTTCTGGAATACGTTATTTTGCTGCCTGATCATCAAGCGACACAATAACGTGTATTCCGAAAGCAACGATTCGCAGTGAATGTTGGGATTTTGAGAACAGCCTGCGTCGAATTTTTAATGGAACTTTCTCTCCGAATATATGTTTTATGGTACTTGTGGCCACTCAACCGGGGGAAATTCTGTGAATGCAAACTGACACTTAACAACGTAATTTTCCTTAGTCCGGGATTGAAAATCATAACACTTCGATGTCTCACACATTTTAAAAATTCTGAGGTGATTTTACCGATCAGAAAAATTAAATTCAAATTTGAAATATGTAATTAATGATGTGAAGTGAAATTGTAAACATTATGCAGTAGATTGCGTGACGGTGACCAAATGGAGTACCATTCCTTTCAGTTGCTCACGAATAATGGAGTTCCGGAAGACTGCGGATTGTTTCAGCCGGTGCGCTAGGTTATTTATCATTTCATAATTCCTTCTGGCATTTCCTTGACATCTTCGGCCATAAAAACCTTAGAAATTCTCTACATACCTCTTTGGGAATCACCTCTAGAAAATTCTTCGAATTTACTCTAAAATTATCTTAGTATTTTCAATAGTTCCTTTAAAATTCTCTCCATAATTCTCATTAAAACTTACCCTTTGGAAACTAATCTTTGAAGTATTCCTAAGGTTTTCCTTGGAATGCATATCAGAATAGTCTTGGAAATCTAATCATAACTGTTTAGGATTTCTCTGATTTTTTTTCAAGAAGTTACTTTGAAATTTAAGTTAGCATTCTCAAAGCATCTTCGAGGGTTTCCTTTCAAATTTTCTCCATAATTTATTTGGATTTCTACTAAAATTCACGTTGATATTCTTCTCAAATTTTGTCAATAATTCTTCTAGGAATATTCTTGTCATTCGCTTCTGAAATCCTTTGAAAACTTCGTATTTTTATCTCACAACTACAGATTGCACTCATGGGTCAAAAGTTAATGATAATAATCTATGTCTCACATATCAATTTATGGTTTTATCCAAGGCGTAATCAACTCTGCACACTGTGCCGAAACACATCACGGCACACTGATTGGCACTAGGGCACACAAACGGCATCACTGTTTTTTTTTTGCAGACGATTTTCTAATCGTTGCTAAGGTTTCGCACTTTGTTGACAGTCGCTGATCTTCGCTTCAGGATGAAATTAATAAATTCATCGAACTTGACGATCAGATTTCGGATTAGAAGTCAAACCTATAAGACTTTGCTCGGATCTCTCCTGCAGCCAGTACTTCGTCCAAGAGTTCAAGAGCAACAATTGAAAAAGCCTCAACTCCATTTAGTAAACAAACTTTGAATGGCCATTTTGTCACGAAATAAAGTCCGTCAACGCAAACGAACCAAATGAACAGGTAGGGGAAATTCTTCTCTATCCGATTGTGTGTTAGGTTTGCGAATGTAGGTTTCACTTCGCGAGAAAATGGCCTTGCAAGCTTTGTTTACAAAATTAAATTGAGGCCTTTTCAATTGTTGGTCTGGAGTTGGTTAAAGTGTGGTGAAAACTTCATAAATCAGGTATGAAAATAGCATAACTGACAACCTAAATATGGTATGAGCCTGACATAAGAGGTAAAGTACCACAAATAATACCTCAAAAATGTTCGACGAATAACGAGCTAATAAATAATAACATACCCTTTTTTTAAATGTCAGAATCAGTGCTGATAAAAATCATTTCTTCTAATTTCAGTCCAAACACATTGCACAATTTAAAAAACATAAACTAAATACATGCCAGGTTTGAAAAGAATATTTTCGAACCTAGAAGCGCGTATGTAATACCAATATCCATTTGATAACGGTTATGAATACATGCGGAGCTTATTGTAAGTGAAAGTAACCTCGGAATGGGCGTGACTCTCCAGACATTCTGAAATGGGTTGCTGGATCTGCAATGCAGCTATCACTTTCTAACTCCCGGACTAAAGCTGTCTACAATGACCATAAATGCGACATTGTAGAGAGAGTTCTTCCATAATAACACTGCCGGCCAGTGGGGGTTAGATGGAATACACACACACACACACACACACACACACACACACACACAACATTTTCTTGATCAAGGCAACCTTTGAGTACAGGGTGATTCGGAATAACTGTCCCTTTTAGAAATGGTCATAACGATTGAACGGCTGCATGAATTTTTGATATCATTATATTCCAGATATTCTACATATATAACCTTCAACTAAGCATAGTTTTTTTTTCAAATCTCTCTCCCTTTACCTTAATTACCAGCCACATTTGTCATGACAATTAACCACAGCTGGCACGCACTCTTTAGTTTCAGCACTTTTTGAGTCCTGGTGATGCGTTTAAGCTCTGATATTGAACGGATTTTCCAAGCATGGTTCCTTTGTACCTCTATAATGATACAAAAATAAATGTTACATTCTTTCCAAGAGATTTCAGTTTCTAAAAGATAACACACGATTTTTTTACAGATGTATGCCATGCTCCATTTTGACGTCAATGGTTGCTTGAAATCACAAAAGAATGAAATTTCAAATCCTACTATCAATACAAGCTGATATGTGTACACACTTAAAACAAAAATACTTGAAAATATACCCATTTTACCCATTGAGAATTGCATATTTGTGAAATCGGTGACAGTTATTCTGAATCACCCTGTAATCGAAGTCAACATTTCTTGATAGAGCTGGAATTAGGGCGTAACAGCTTTTGTAAACAATGATTTCTCTCGAAGATTTCTAGGGATTCAAGACACGCCCACGCAATCCAAAACAACCATCAGGTAGAGGTAGTCTTCCTCTACCCGATGGTGATGTTGATTTGCGTGGGCTAGCCTTGATTTAGTAGAAATGATTGAGTGAAGTCATTGTTTACAAAAGCTGTCACGCCCTAATTCCAGCTCTATCTAGATTTGTTTTTCTTCATTCGTGGCTGGATGTTCATTATCGCCTCTGTTGTTGTCAATATTAATGTGCGTTCTCATCTTGATTTTGATGATGAAATGCAAAATTATTATTTTCAATTTGTGCAAACGCTATGAAGAACGTTTCGTGTTGATTTTAACACACAAATGGATGGCAAATTATTGCCTCATACTGAATTGATGATAATATTCACTTCTTCTTCTTCTTTATTATAGAGATTTTTAGCCATATGGCTAGTTCTTCTCTTTAGATAATATTCAAAATTTTAGGCTCTGTGATCGACAATATTCAAAATAATCACGTTGGCCAAAATGAAGATTAGGTTATCTTTATTAGCGAGACTTTCAGCCAGAGGCTGGTTCATCTCTTCGGCCAAAATGAATTTGATTATTTTGCATTTGAGGATCGATTCTGATTTTGACTATCTCAGGTTGGATAATCAAGCACTGGTGAATATCAACAAACGCGTATCTATTCATCCCCGTAACGTGGGTAGATCACCTTTTCGTGGTACGTTACGGGATGTAAGTTCTACCACCGATTCCTAGTCCTGACTACTTCAAACTAGGGGAACAGGATTTTTCAGTAATCAAAGGAACACATTATTAGTCCTTGTTACTTTTTATGTCTTGTTATAAGACCTCGGGTTGCTTGAACCGAGGATGATATTGAAACAAGGAAAACATGAGTTAGTTAGTCTTCATCTATGTGATCCCTAATCTTCTAATCGTTGTTCCTTAGTTTGCATGGTCATTATCGGTGTCATTCCTTAGTTTTGTTGCTAAGAAATCCAATTTTGACTGACAAAGGGGCGTGCCTTTGGAGGGTGTTTCAACACTCCGAAGGGTATAAATAGCGGGACTCTTCTATTAGAGTCGGATCTTTAAGATAAACGCAAGAATAACAACTGTAAAAAAAATCGAATACTTCATCATTTCTCAATAGTGATGAAGTATTACGATATGCACTAAACTAAGGACATGGGATATACTACAATAGACCTAATTACTAGTCGCAGTGGTGTTAGGTCTCGAACAGAGAGCATGAGCATGATTGACCGCCCAAGGTTGCTGCTCTGTTATTACCAGATCAGCTGCAATTACACAGAGAACCAACAGATGATGTTTTGGGACTA